TTTTTTTAACTATGTTTTCAAAGGTCTAAATAAAGTAAAAATAAATAGGATCTGTGAATGGTTTGTTATTCATAGGACACACCTTAGTTAATTGATATATTCTGCATCCTGCAGTTTGCATCCTGTAAGAATGATAAAGAAAATTGAAAACTTTGTTTAGTATTTCAATGTAATAATTAAAACTATTTGAAATATGAATTTATAAAAAAAAAGTATGTATATATATATATTTTTTTTTTTTTGGTTTCNTTTTATAATGGCCAATGAGATTGCCATGAGATGGGCCGACTTTGATTGTCCTTATGAATGATAAATTGCTATCCTGGAATCCAGGTGCAAAACTGAAAGAAGCCATTGAGAGAGAGAAGGGACTGGTGAGAGGAGCCTCGTGGTACCAGAGATCAGATCGATGTGAAACACCTGCAAACAGCCTAGAAAACTTGCTGTACTGATGATTTTTGTATATAATATCAAATTTTAAGCAAGTTAACATTGATTGAACTATTGTTCTACCTAGTATATACATTAAAATGTTCTGACACTGCCAAAACTGAAACTAACACTACAAACAAGTGCTTTAGAGACTCAATACTGACTGCCTGCATGAAATACAACCAAATGAATCAAGACTGACAATAAGTACTTTATTCACACTTTCTGAAATATTTTTTCAATTGAATAAAAGTATACAAAATACTTTTATTCAATATAAAAGAATAAAAGTAACCTGGAATAAATGAATGAAACTAATCAAAATAACAAAAATTAGATCTTTACATCTAAGATCTTAAGTAAAATAAAAAATTATCTGTTATAATTTTTTAAGCAATAATTGTCAGGAATATGTGAAATGTCATTTTAGTAAACAAGGATGAATAGAACTAATAAAATTTATTGAGTATACTTCAGAAAAATTACTTGTTTTTGGTTACTTTTAGTTTTTGTTTTATAATTAAATTTTATTTAGATTAATTTTAAATAGTACTGTATTTAAATATTTAAATGTGTGTGTTAATTTGAATTTAAACTCTTGTTCAGTTTTATAGCATTTAACATTCCATTGTAAGAATTTCCATAAATAAAGCTATAAAAATGAATTTGTATAAAAAAAGGCTATTTTTCAGCTAGTGAAATGTTTTATTATACTGTACGTAAAATTGTTTTTACATATAATGAAACATTTCACTAGCTGAAAAGACAATAAATTTCAATTTTTACAATATGGTACCAAGAATTTTGTAAGTTTATAAAAAATAGTTTTAAAAAATTCTTTCAGTTTTTCATTTTCTTTTTTGTTGTTGTCTTCTATATGCTTTGATGTATTAGTTTTAAAGAAACGTAAATTTTAATAAAGAATTTTTAAGATTTGTAAAATGATTTTGCAGTTCTTCACTATTTGATATCACCTCTGCTAAATTCATTTATCTTTTTATTTAAGCTTATAAAAAAAACAAGTCGTTTTTTAAAATAAGGTATGTCCCATAAGTATAAAGGCACAAATAGATTTCTACATAAAATCATTCACTCTGTTAAACTTTGCAAAACATAATTTTGGCTTGCTTGAACTTTCACAAATGTACATGTAAATAATTAATAATTATTTATTGAGACAACAATTTTAAAGAATTACAATCAATTTGACTGTCCCAGAAGTATAAAGGCATATAACAAAATTAACTGAAACAATTAATGACATTTTAATAAATTATATTTAACCATAACTTAATATCCAGTGAAACCACCTTTAACTAAAACAAACTTGTAAATATGGTCTAGCATTGATTATATAAGTTTTTGGAAGATAGATGTGCTTCTTTCTTTCCAGTGATAAATTATGGCTTGTTTTAGTTCATCCACACTATTATATTGATGTCCATTTGCATACATAGTTGTAGTCAGAATCTCCCAAAGATTTTACATTTGATTTGATAATTGACATTTCTTAATCAAATGTAAAATCTTTGGGAGATTCTGACTAGAGCTGGCTAGAAATCTTTGGGAGATCTGACTAGAGCTGGCCAGTAAATAATAGACACCACATTAGCTAAAAGCCATTCATACATACAGTTTGCTGTGTGAATGGGAGCATCATCCTGTTGATAGAACCATCAATTCACAGTGATATGTTCTACAAAATGCAAGAAACTGTTTGCCAACATGTCTTGATAATCATGTGCATTTGTATGCCCTTGTAATAAAGCAAGTGGAATCTTTTCTTGCCAACTAAAACTATCCCACACCATAACTGAGCCACCATCTTATTGTTTGGAATATAGTCCTTCCTCCTTTCTCAAATCATGCCACTAATGGCTCCAACTATCTGGATCATCAAGGTTGAATTTTTTCTCATCATTCTAGATAATTTGTTTCCATTTGTCCATCCAGCTTATTGTTTTCTTGGCTTGTAAATGTTTCTGTTTTAGCAATGAACAGGTTTTTTTCACTTATAAACAAGAAGCCAACATGTCTAAACAACTCTTCCAGTAGTTGATTTGCTAACATTGTTGCTAACTTATGAAATAATGTTTTCTTGCTGATAATCTGGTGAACAGTGGCATGTTTTGCCCTGTTTATAAGCTTTGAAGGACATCCTGTTGATTTCTTTTGACCATGTTGATTTCCAAGTTTGATAAAATTGTTGATTACAGTGGATGACAGATTTAATCTTTTAGCAATTGCTCTTGCAGAGTAATTTTCATTTCTAAGAGCAAGAATTACACCTTTAAGCCTGTTAGGGGTGATCCATTGTTAAATTAGTGATTCTAGCCAGCTACAGTCATTTCTAATAGTTTCTGTTGGGTTAATGTTGACCTCTGGTATCTTCATATCAACAACCTTCCTTTATATTTCTAGGATAGTCAACTTTAATTGCTTAAAATTATTTTCTGTCTTTATAAATTATTATTATTATTATTTTTTTAACTATGTTTTCAAAGGTCTAAATAAAGTAAAAATAAATAGGATCTGTGAATGGTTTGTTATTCATAGGACACACCTTAGTTAATTGATATATTCTGCATCCTGCAGTTTGCATCCTGTAAGAATGATAAAGAAAATTGAAAACTTTGTTTAGTATTTCAATGTAATAATTAAAACTATTTGAAATATGAATTTATAAAAAAAAAGTATGTATATATATATATATATTTTTTTTTTTTAAATTAAACTGAAATTTGTTATGGTAAATTAATTTTTATGAAACTGCTTTATATGAGTTAATACCATTTGAAATAGAAACAAAAAAGAAAAAAACAAGCCACCCTTGAGTGCTTTTGAATATATTATATTGAAATTTTGTTTTAATGAAGTTTTCTCTTTTGATAAATTAATTGAAAATACATGAGATGATAGAAAAAAGTTTTAATTTTCTGATTTCTGAGTTAGCAAAGACTAAGGTTTGAATAGATTAAGAAGACATTTTCTTAAAATTATTATTTTGGTCTTTTTAACAATTGAAACTAAAATTTTTATTCAAATAAATTAATTTGTAAATCAATATTTAATGGTAAATAAGAATACCTGTTGGTCTATTCAAACAGGGGCGCCGCTAGCTGTTTGAACGCCCGTGTGCAATACCGATTATGTCGCCCCCTGTTTAACTACGATTACCTATGCTGAGCTTGCCAGAAAGGCTCTTTGCCGCCCGCGTGCGGTGCACGCCTTGCACGCCTGCTTACAGCGGCCCTGTATTCAAACCAGATATACTAGATACTCTAACATAAAATAAATACAATTAAAGTTAGTTTTAATAATATCTAAGATATAGAGGAGAAGGTGGTATTATGGAACACTGCGGGTATTATGGAACCACCCCATTTCGAACTGATAATAAAGGCGAACTGCAGCGGATTGTGGCTGAACTGAACTAGGCAGACATCCATAAAAAGGGGAAAACCCGTTTTACTTCAGTTAAACAGTTGTTAGCATTTAATCAGCAAATTTGTTTTTTTCAAAATTAGCAAGTTTTGAATGCTAAGTGAATTTAATTATTTTTAAAATATAAATCGTGAAGTTGTAGGTTCACTGGTGCATGTATTCCGTTCCAGAGACTTAGGAGTACATATTAATCTGTGTGATGTTCACGTTTTTTAAATTTTGGTCTCGACAGACATAAGTTAATTCGAGATGGTGATGCGTGAAATACGGACCTCATTGGTGCTTTTACAGTAATATGGAACTCAACTCCTNTTTTAAGGAGGAATTATCACGAGCGATCTCGTCGAGGACTTCGGGTTCAGTATGGAAGTGATAATGCCGGAAGAAACGCACACCAATCCAAGTTCATTAACACTATAACCGTTTATTGTTGAACATTTTAACATAGATAATTAATTAAGGAGTCGAGAGTACAGTTCCCTCTCGGGTTAACATCCCATATAGGTAATTCCATTCGAGAAAGGTAGCTAACAATATTTAATAGTCGTGTCCCTATCCGCATTTCGAAAGTACTCGAGAGAGGGCTTACATATCATTGCGAGTAGGATAAATACCTCTAGTTGTAAACGTTGATGTCTAGGTGATATCCAAATCCTCGTCATTCTCAGTGTTCATAGTGATGTTCAGAATCCAAAAGTCTATTGAAGACGGTGGCGACGAGAGGCAGGAAAATCCACACACGCAGTATAGAAAAATAACTTTCCCCCCTGTATGGTCATCGCACTTGCCTTTTATATCGGGGCTCTCTTTTCGAGATTTCCATATGTACGTCACATGTGATAATCTTCTTTGACCAATGGTGGGAGAAGTGACAGAATTATGACACAACAGTTAACTCATCTTCTACAAGACAGTATTTTCGTGGGAACGGAGTTTTATAATAGATTTTTATGAGAAAATTTTGTCTGTTGTTTTTCTCTTTTTGAGTTAAAACACAGTTAAACTTATAAACTAAATACTACAGCAATTTTACATATCAAATGACTCCATAATTTCCATACCACTGTATGTACTTCATTTAATTTTTGATCATTCAATACCATTTTATTAGCTGCTCCAGTATTTAGAGATAATGCCACAACTAATATAGAAACATCGAAAGGAGAAAGACTGAAGTTGCGATGTCCTGTTTATGGTAATCCGCGACCAACATTACTTTGGTATCATGATGATCAATTGATTCCCAGTGACAGTTTACATGTCAAAATGAATGGTTATGTTTTAACCATTAAAAATGTTGAGTCTTCAGATAATGGCATTTATGCATGTAAAGGTACAAATAATTTAGGAACAATTTGGCGAAATTTTTCTATTTATATTAAAGGTAAGTTAACAATGAACATTTAACTACAGTAAAATATGTGAAAGCCAAATTTGCTTGGGACTCTATAAATTCTCTATCTTAGGCTGGCTGGAACAAGAAAGTGGCTGTTGCTTCAAAACATGAATGTACTTCTTTTTTTTTTACCAATTTTTAACCTAGACACAGTATTTACTACATCATTGAAATGATCCAAAATTTAAAAGGAAAAGAATGCAGAAAATAATATATATATTTCAGTAAAATTAGAGTATTTAATGTATCTCAAAAGATAATTCAGAAAAACAAGAAAGTTCAAAGAAACAATTTTGTATTTTAAATATGTGCAAAATTATTATAACTTGCAAACAAAAATCTGTTGTTGAAAATTGTAGGGGGCCTATCAGTGGCCAAGTGGTCTTCGTACCCTGAACACTGGGAGTTTGGTTGTGGGTTCTCACCTCGCTTGGAACGGGCTAGTCATGTGGAGTTCTCCGGATTTTCTCCACTTCTGTAATACCTAAATAGGGGCCAGTTTTCCTTAAAGACCTCCCAGAAGGCATTCCCCCTAGGCAGGTTGCCCAAGTGTTGCATTGCCATAACTTAACGACCAAAATTGTAGTGTAAGTTATTTCTGAGAGATGATGTTGGAGTCATTAAATGCTTTCAATGTTATATGGTTTGAAAGATAGTAAAATTATTGAAAACTATTAGCTAATATGTAAAGATACAAATTGTTTTTCAAAGTCTAATGGTTTGTATTTATCTTTTTCACTTTTAATACGTTGCAACATAGAATGTTGAAGAATTCAGTGAATATTACATCATTGATGCAATAGTTTAGATGTTACTAATACAGAGTTTCCAAAATGCTACCAAACTGTAATTATGTTATTATTTGAGAAGTATACAACATACACTGAGTGTCATCTCCCATCTCCATTCGAATATCTTGTCATCTACACCCTGTTGGAAGTGTTGTGAACGAAAATGACAACTTGCAACAATGGAGTTCTATGTTCTGCAGTTTGCAGATTCAGAATTACACATCATCGTGCAGCAAGAGTAATCTGCAAGAGTTGTAGAATTATTGTTGCCATGGGAAGAATAACAATGAATGTGTCAGTGAGTGTAGGAAGAATTTGAGTATCAATTGATATCCAGGAGGAGCTTAAGAGTAGCTCCTGCATTTTTCTTAGACATAATTAACAGAGAAGTATTCAATAGTTTTGGTAATTTTTTATACATGTCAATGTATTGGCAAAGTAGAAAAATCTTATGCTGTAGAAAAATGTTAAAAATCAAAGATGACTTAGAGCAGGAACACTCAAGTACATAAAATATAGTGTAAATGTAAATGGAAAAAGAAAACATATCATCATCTGAAGTTTCTGCTAAAAAGGAACATAAAATTGAGTAGAGCAAATTTCTTTTCACAGACTGAAAAATTTTTCTTTTGAAGCATAGCCAGTAGGTGTAGGTGGTCTTTCATGATGACATTGATTGTAGTTACTGGTCTATTTTGATTTGAAAAATCACACATACTTTTCTCTGGTATATTTAGGAACTGAGAAAATTATTTAGATTTAAACATAAGATTTAATGCATATGTTTAAGAGTATTTATTAATGCACTAGTTTTTAATATATTTCACTTTGACCAACAAGAGCTTAATATTGAACAACAAAGTTGAGAACTGTAGCTTGTGTGTTTGTGTCATTTAGGTTTCAGCTATATATATATATATATTAAGTTTTTGAAGTGATTTAAAGATTTGTTAGTATAAATTATGATATTATTTAATTAAATTATTTTTTAAAATCCATTTTCATATAAGCAAATAAGTATAGAGTTGCTTTTATCCTAATGTTTTTGTCAGGTTTTTGATTCAGTATGTTCAAAGTTTGTCTTTAACAGATTCTAAACAATGAAAATTAATAAGGTATAACATATATAGCTTTCTGTTCACATCACAGAGAGGGCCAGACACTCAGGTCTTTGATTCAAACAAAACTTAGTGAGCATATAACCCTGAACACAAACAGCTCTTGTCCAAATAACAGGACCTACTTCTCAAACATTTCCAAAAAAAACAGGCCTCTGAAAATTGAGTGTTTAGCTTATAAGTCTTTGGAAGATTCTTGTAATGACAATATCCAAGTGGATAAGATGTTAGCCACTGGAGCTATATGATATATGTTTGAACCTTTGCAATTTTTTTTGTGTGTAACAAAGTTATTTTATTATTTTACTGCATCATTGACATTATTATTCCTCAAGGTTGTAGCTTATAAAACAAGAAATTAAAGATTTTGACATAATTTTCTGTTTAATGGAAATGAAGTCTCTTGATTTTACTCTTTTATGTTGTTAAATAATTTCTCCAAAAAAACACCCCCAGTAGTAACTTAAAATTTGTTTTTTTAAATTAAAAATTATTTTTTTTAATTAACTAAAAATTTTATAATTTTTTTAATATTTAAACACCTTCCTAAAAGGTTAATTAAATAAATAACTGGAAGTTCATCTGCTTGTAATTTAAAGACTTGTAACTTAAACACTCATTTTCAAAAATGCTTGAGAAAGTAGGTCCTGTTATTTGGATAAGGAGCTGTTTGTGTTTAGGGTTACATGCTTACCAAGTTTCATTTGAACCAGAGACCTGAATGTCTGGCCATTTCCTTGTTAGACTATTTTATTGATCATAATTAAAGTTAGGAAATTGAGGTGCTCCTTTCATTATTTGTTCAGTGGCTGTTTCAAAGTATCACAAAGATAATGAACTATTATTATCTTTATTTAAATATTTTCCTAAAAAGTTCATTAAATTAATGGCTCAGTGCTGACAAACTTTGAAATTATCAATAAATTTCAATTATAAATTAAATTTTAAATTTGATTCCAGTACCAACAATCAAATAATTTTAACTGATCTTGGATTTCCACTCATTTAATGTTCAGAAATTTAAATTATACTTTCGATTGGCTGACAACTTTCAACTGTAAACAAATTTGAATTTTAAAATTAATCCTTCCCAAAATTTTAATTTCTTGCTGTGATTTGTTAGAAAAAAATCAATTGATTAACAGTGATTTTAAGAACAGTATCAGTAAACAATATCTACTTTCCAATAAAGTTCTTTTTCATTTTATAATATTGTAAGTGTATTTATATTTTTATATACCATATTGGCCTGAATATAAAGAAAAAAAATCCATAAAACACATTGATTAATCATGAATTAATAAAATTTGTAGAATTTTTAGATCTTAGAAACAGAATTGTAAAGTGATGTTCTCATTTGCAGAAAATTACAGCAGAAAAGGAAAAGAGAAAAAGAAAACAGAAAATTTTTGTTTCCTTAGTAAGAAACATCTCAGAAAATAGAGTTGAGAAATCTTAAAGGTTTCTGATTCTGAATGTGGAAACAAAGTCGATAACCAATGAAAAATGAGTTTTGTGAAATCTCATTTTACAAAAACAGTAGTTTCATTCCACTATTAATAAAATTTTATTGAATAATTCTTGTCATTTACATAAAATCAAAAACTTAGAATTAACTGTAATTAATATGATTCTTTTCAATATACTTACTCCAAGTAGAAATTTTTACCATGAAAATGTAACTCATTAGAGTGCAACTGTAAACTATTTTCTGAAATTGAAATAATGGTCTAATCTAAAATTTTCATTATGTAGTTTTAATTTATTTTTTTCTTAATCTTTCACAGTTCACAGAGTACTTCATGTTATCTATGGCAGACCATGTAGAATGACTGTATGTTTGCAAGTATAATACTTTTCTGTAAACTATGAAACTGATGGGTCAGATTCCAAAAGTGACTGATTTGAATTTTCTATCATTTTTTTGAGTTTTACATGTTCTACATGTACTTTTATGCACAATAAAATGATGAAGTTATGCTCCTAAAAATGCATAAAAGTAAAACAGTCACTTTTTTTTAGTCTTTTTTAAAGAAAATTTGTACCTCAACTTTTTAAGTATAATCATAAAACTGAAACACAGAAAAATCTGGCTTTCACATAGTTTTATATTCTTGCAGATTATACTATATTTAGAATTATTAATTTTTTATGTTTTATGTGAAATTGCTCTGATATTGAAAAATTATGGAACAATATAATAATTTTTCTGAATTTTATTTTAAACAGTAGACCCCCTGTAACACAGGTTCATATAATATGGATTCGTATAAAATGGCGAAAAAATTGCGATTGTATTCGTATAAACACGCTAAAAGAGTCTCGTATAATACGGTAAAACATCATCGCCGACTCGTGCCACGACAGGATTGGTCAAATCTAGACCAATAGCAGATATTGCACAAACCATCAAGTTTAAACAAGCAGCAGACCTACTAAACACCATTTATTATTTAACGGCCATAAAAATTATATTTATATTAATGATGTCGCCAAAGTTAAGTTATTTTTCAGCAAAAAATTTGCTGATCAGGAAACATGCGCCCACCTTTTGATGTGCTGCTCCGCGACGAAAGGTGTTGCATAAGCAAGCATAAGCGTAAGCAATGGTGTTGTCGAATGGTGCACACTCGGTAAGTAATCCTACAATTTTTTGTTTATAGCATAGTTTATATGGATTATTCCCAAAAAATTATACGTGTTTTGGAAATGTTGAGTCAAATTAGTCTAGAATCGATTAATTTTATGGAAGAAAACTTTTCAAACAGCCGTAGTCCTAAACTGCATATGTGCCAGGCTGTGATTGGCTCATATATTTAAGTGACTCATACAACACGAAATTCATATAAAACAGAACGTACTTACCATGTTATAGGGGGGGTCTACTGTATTTTTATGTGAAAGTATTTAATTTACATTCATGTCAACTATTATTTTAGCTTATCAGTTACATCTAATACTTCTTTCTAATAATAATTCATTTTAAACCTTAAAATATAAAATTGTTATATACTTCGTTCCTTTTTGTTCCTACACAATACAATATATAGTATTCCTTGTATATTCAATATTCATTTAATTTTTCTATTCTATATTATTTGGAACAATGGCAAATATTTTTAATAGTTCATAAATACAGTATATCAAATTAGTATATTAATTAATATTTCTTTGATATTACTGTATTTATGAACTATTAAAAATATTTGCCATTGTTCAAAATAATGTAGAACTAGACTTAAAACTAAATTAATCTTTTAACAATCTCAAACATCTTTTAATTTATTAAAAGATGTTTTGTATATGGGTCATGAAATGATGAGTTGGAATTTTGTTGGATTTTATTTTTGCAAAGCATATTTATTTTTTTAGGATATTAAATTTAAACATTATAAAAGACATAATACTGATGATTTAGTAGTAAAAGTGATCTGACAATTAATATAATTATTTTTAAAACTTTTTAAATTAATAATATTTTGTTTATTAGAACCCTTAATGCAAGATCAACCAGTAACAGAGGAAAATATTATTGTTAAAAATAGCGACAGTACTGGAAATGAATCAGGTAATTAATATTTGTTTATTTATATTACATTTGGATATAGTAATAAATTTCTTGCACTGTCACTGAGACCATTTTTGAAATAAAAAAACAATGATTCTTAAAAATTATTTTTTTGTCATTTTATAACATTGATTGTTCTTTATATTTCTTGCTCCTTAGTTTTCATCTGTTTTGTAATTACTAAGTTTATTTACGTATAATTATGTATATAAATTAACATGGTCATTATAAAAACAAATGAAACAAACAACCCAAACAAATTGATTATTCATTTCAGTTAAATTTTCAAATAGAATAATAATTAAGTTTAAGTATTGAATTTCAATAACAAACTGCTTCTTTATACTTATTATTGTGTTACAATAAGTTATTTTTGTTATTTATTCTTCAATTTAAAACTGAATATTAAAAATTTAAGTAATCTAGTGAGGAAAATATGTAAATTTAAAACATGTTTATATTTATAGTATATATGTTCATATGAAAAAATTCTTGAGGAAAAATTTGTGATTAAGAATTATATTTAATTTCTGTTTAACTTCAGCAGTAGAATCTTAATAAAGTTATAAAATTACTTAAATTATTAATTTTCAAAGTTTAAGTTGTTGAATTCCATAAATATTTAGTAAATAATATTTTAAAATATTTGAAATTCAAATCAGAAATTTATGATTTGAATTTTACTCATTAACATGATTACCAAAAAATTTGTTTTGTGTTAAAAGTAATTCATTGATTACATCACTATTTGAGTAAAAACCTGTAAAGCAGAAATCCTTTTTTTTATTATTGGTTTATTTTTCAATAGGCTGAAACTGGTTAAGCTGGAACATTTTAAGTATCATACATAACTTATGCATTTGACAGCATAAGTTAGGTATGATACTTATCAGTTATGTGTGAGCTTGGTTAGAGTAGCAATGGGCCATGCAAAGGATTTATTGCCATTTGATCATGGACAGATTGCTGGAGCAAGAAGAATGGGTCGCTCTTTCAGCAAGGTGGCCAATGCTTTTGCATTTTCTTGTGCAACAGTCTCAAGGATTTACCAAGAATACTTAAATTCTGGACAGACATTAGCAGCATGTGCACAATGTGGGTGCCCATGACTGATGCAAGAATGTGACTGCTGGTGTCTAACCAGGTTAGTAACTACACAACAAAGGACAACTCTGTGCCAAATCACATCAGAATTCAATGCAGGTGCTGCTGAACCCGTCAGTCAATGCACTGTACAACATAAACTTCATTACTGGAGTTTGGTAGTCACTGACCCACTCTACTATCACTACTAAAACCTAGGCATCAGGTAATGTCCCTCATCTGGGCCAAAAAACATTGAAATTGAACAGTGGATGCCTGGTGCAACATTCTGTGGTCAGATGAATCTTGTTTTCAGCTCTTTCAAGCTGATAGTCATAGTCATGTGTGGCGAGAACCACGTGAAGCCATGAAGCTATCATATCAGTAAAATGTTGTGCAAGCTGGTGGCAGCTCGTTCTAGTTTGGAGTGTGTTCTATTAGCATGAACAGGAGGAACTAGTGGTGAGACTGTTGACAATTGACTCTGACAGGTGCAACATATACTAATCTTGTGGCAGACATTCTGTATCCCTTTATGCATGCTGTTTCCTGTCAGTACATGGCATGAGTGATTTGCAAACACTTGACAGATTTTTAGCTACTCCCTTGGATGCCTGTGTTGCTAGACTTAATCCCCATAGAGCATTTATGGGACACTTTACAAATGTTAATCAATGCCTTACAGTGAATATCCAATAAATGCAACTAAATTATAGAAATTATGGAGAACCATTGAATGTGCCTTGATTGAAACTACCTGTGCAACAACCAATGTGATGTTGCCAACTATCACATTGGCCTAAACAGAATTGGGATTCATCACTAAACACAATTGTATGCTATTCATGTGTCCAGTTACGTTTAGCAGCACACCACGTTAGCCGTTGTTGGCCATGAAATCTGGTTAAGGGAACACATTGCACGGGGGTCAGATCTCAGTCCAGCATCAAGCAATCGGTTTACAATTGTCCATGGGGTGACTCTGGCAGTAACTACTGCTCAGATCTGTGCTGCCATTGCACATCTGTCAGCAACTGCCATCTGCACAATATGGCAGTCTTCATGTGGCATCGTCCTTCTGCGTGGACCTGTGCCGGGTCTGCGAGTACTTGACCCTTCCTGCATCCACTGTGTGACCACTCTTTGTACTGACATTGCACTACAGCCAGTCCTTCAGGCAATTTCACAATATGATGCTCCCATTTCTGACATGCTAATTATCCAACCTCTTTCAAAGTCAGACATTTGGGTGTACGGAGTTCTCACTCATCGATATGGCATAGCTGGTTACCAACAACATGTGGACCAAAAAAGTCATGTTCCATAACACAGTTCACAAACTATAAACTAAACACTATAGCAATTTTGCATAACAAATGTCTCCATAATTTCCATACCACTGTATGTACTTCATTTAATTTTTGATCATTCAATACCATTCAAAAAGAGATTCTTTTGTCCCAGTTTCATATGTCTTTGACAATATTGGGTGGGTGTAATACTTTCAATTTCCGTCAGTGTATATGTATATATATAATTTCATATAACTCCAAAAAAATGAGTATGTGAATCTAAATATTTGAAGATTTACAATTATTTGGTAAGCATACTTAATTGAAAATTTTTTACTCTTTTTCTCTAAATACAAATACAATAAAAAAAATTTTCAATTAAGTATGCTTACCAAATGAGGTTTCAAGATTAAAAATGTATACAGTCGACCCCCCTATAAGATATAGATACGTTCCAATTTATTAGGAATCCGATTTCTTACAAGTCGTTCCAATCACAGCCCGACACGTGTCAAGTTTACGGACTACGGCTGATTGAAAGGTTTTCTTCCATAAAATTAATCGATTCTACACTAATCCGACTCAACATTTCCAAAATACGTATATTTTTTCGTAGTTTTATAGGAATCGTAATTATAGGG